ACATAGCTATACATATACATATACATATATACATATGCATAGACATATATACATATACATATGTATATATACATATCTATACATATACATATGCATACACACACACACGTGTCCCCGTACCCTACATTTCACAATTTTGCTGTCCCCTGTACCCGTACCCACACCCGTACTGGTACCCGTACCCGTTTCTATGCAACTAAGACATGGGCCAACTTAGAGGATTGACTTTATGTTTAATAAACAAAAGTATATGGTTTGGTAAATCCTGAACATAGTATCCTCAAGTGAGAAGGTTTTCCGTAGCTGATCGTACTTTAATGGGCAAACCATAGCTGTCAATTACTAATATCATGATCAGCACTATTGTTATAACCTTTTTCATATCTATGGGTCTACTTTGGAGAAAACTCAGTTGAAGAAGTCGCACAAATGAATTGACTAAGTTCGCACTATTGGCTATTTATCAACCTAATTCCAATGTTTTTGTCTAGAAGTGTTGCCAAGCCTAGTTGTAACATAGGAAAGTGGAAAGTTTAATTTGGTGAAAAAGCATTGGCGACGAAAAAAAAAAGAAATGTTAAATTTCAGGTTCCTGCACACAGGTCTAGAAATCATAACTATAGTGGTAGTTACAAATTTGAAATTGACCGCTTTTTGAATTCTATCGTCTAGAGGATCAAAATCTTCAAGAAATTTGCTCCATGAATGTAATGGATTTTATTTTAGTTAATATAATAAATTGCATTCTTCCCAAAAAAAAGTTGTCTTGTAGATTTGATTAGTTTTAGATAAGAAGTATGATTTATTTAGGATTTTTTCCTAGTTAGGATTGAAGGAACACTTGATGAGGATTTGATTTTCTTTATTTAGATTTTTTTTCTTGTCGCTCTTGAAATTAATCACTTCACAGCACCTAGTTTTCCATCTTCCAGTCTTAAAGTCGTATCTGATTCGTCTCTTTTATTGATTCAGGGAGCAATAATGGGACCATTGCTTATGACAGTTATGATTGCACTGAAGAACTTGTATGCTGAATTTGTGCTCTTATCTTCAAAGGAAAGTAGGTGATACTTCTGGTAGTATATGGTAAACACAGGTGCATGAGATGTATTTTCCCCCTAGCAATGTTACTTTTTGTTGGCATCCTCACTTAGTTTTTTATCATTATTTATTCATCATATATTTTTCCTATCAAGCTCTGCTTTTATTTATTCAAACATATATTTTCCTAGTGAGCCAAAAACTATAGTCTTTATTTTCCATTTGCATTTGTTTTGTTCTGTTAGTTGAGCTCTAGTGATGCTTTCAGTTTGTTTGTGTGCGATTTGAATTATGCTTGCACTTCGCAGCAATTAGTCCTGAGAAATATGTTTTTGTATGCGTGAATGACTCCCCGCATTGTGTTGGTAGGTGACAGATTTGAGCTACTGCTTTAAAACAACATCAGGGCAGAAAAACTCACACATTTATCCTGCTACATCAGGTGCATCAAAAACAGTACATTAATTCATCTAGCACAGATTTAAAAAGTCTGTAATTCATGTCATATGAGGCCACATATGGGCAAAGAGTCGATGAATTTAAACGTTTTTAAACCATAGGTTTCATGAATTATTTATCACGATATTTATAGGAGTTCATTTTTTATTTCATTCCCTAGGCAGGATAACTGGCTGGTAAAGTTATTTAACTTGTATCATTAATTTTATATTGTAAGATTTATGCTTTATTAAGTTTCATTTATCATTAGATTTATATATCCTTCATTGTTAACGAATATATATGTAGGTATGTCATGCACTATTGCTTTTAGTGTTCTTGCAAGTTGTGATTACTTCTTAAAGGCTATACCTTATTATGTATATGATAAAAGAAGTCGTCGGTTATTCTCTTTTTATTTTTGAATGCACACTTGTAAGTTAGTTGACCATTATAGTAGATGTCTTGAAAATTATAGCCGATCACAGTTGAACAAATTGGAAGCAGTTTTTGAAAATCCTGGTTTAATAATCTTTTTTTTTTGTAGTATATTCAATGCAATTGACAGTCTTGTCTCTCTATGTTGGTTTATAATTTGTAGATGAGACATATAACTCACACCCATACTTTATTCTATTGTTCTTCCGACATTCATCAGATATTTGCTTTGACGTTGCAATTGGTTAACTTTTGTTGCATTGTGCTGTTGCTATTGAAGTCATTCACAAATTAACTACTGAATCAGCAAAATATATTTCCCGTGACTTTGCTTCATTTGCGTTGTTTCCCTACTGAGCTTCATGAAGATAGCAAGCCATTGGCATATGGCATGTTCCTTTTAGATAATATTCATAATTTAGTAAAATCGCCCTGGTCATGCAATACAATTTTATGACTTTGAATGTGCTTACCTAGATTATTTTATCACACGATATAACATCTCCTCTCCAAATTCCTATGACTTAACACAATCAAGTTGAAGGAAGCACCTAAATTACCTAAATTACAATCTTCAAGCCTTTATTCTAGTAATTTTGTTTTTAAACTTGAGTTAAGCATGAAACTGTTTTTTGAACCTTTTCTAACGTGAAGCTTATCACTTTCTATGAATTTCATTTTGTCTGATTGAGTGCATGAGTTTCATGATATTGGTGTTGGGGTGAATCTGTAAGAAGAAAAATTCTGCTTTACGTAACCATATATCTGGAAAATTTTGAAACTGTGCAAATATTGCTGGTAGTTACGAGCCAATTTTGACTATTTAACTTGGCTTTTAAGAACTATATTTTTTAATTGATTGATTGATATCATAAAGCCTGGAAATATTGAGTCTGAAAATGTAGATTTATCTAAGATCTTTGAGATCATTTTATCCGATTGAGAAAGTCCATGAAAATCACCACTTTTGTAGAAATTTACCTTAATTGCCATGCGAGTGAAACAAATGAAAATGGACAAAAATCATGGGGACCAATGAAACGCATGAGTTTCAAAGTACATATAAATTATTTCCACTGAATCGAAACAGAAGAAATTTGACAAAAATTATTGGTTGTAACCAATGAGAATTGTGAATTTTGAAGTACGCCTAATTAAGTGCTATAAGGTCGAAAGTAATGAAAACGGAAGAAAACCCGTTGGTTATAACCCAGAACTTTATTGCTATTGGGAGGCAAAACAAAAGAAAATGGACAAAAATTATGGGTTATAATTAGGGGTGCAAAGTGGTCCGGATTTATCCGGACCGACCGTTACCGTATCCGTTTAGAAAGCGGATATGGTAGGAAAAAATTAAAACCGGCCGGATACGGTTTCGGAAACGGTTATGGTTTCGATTTTGTATCCGGATACGGTTTCGGATACGGTTATCGGGTCGAAATTGCGGATACGGTCCGGATATCCGGATATCTAAAATGGGTATACTACTTCTATTGGGTCGGGTCTATAGCATAAATCTGCAACCCGACCCAAATTAACTCAAAAAACACCAGAACCCTAAATCCTTTTCAATTCCCAGTTTCCCACCCGCCTCCACCTCTAAGCCGACTCCAAGATCCAGTTGTGCGTCCGCCTCCCTCTCCGCCTCCAAGCTTCGACTGCGGCTGCTCGTCGCTTCTGGCCGCCTTAATCCCTCACCCGAGATCCAAGTCAGCACCGGCAATGCGTCCCGCGTTGCCTCCGCGTCGCGCCTCCACCTCAGCCTCAGATCTCCGCCTCCAACTCCGCCTACTCCTCCGCCTCCCGGGTCCGAGCTCCACCTACTCCTCCGCCTCCGGCGTCCGAGCTCCGCCTCCCACCCCGCGTTCAGTGAAGAAAACAATGACTTCTTCTTCTTCTTCCTCATCGAATCAAATCCTTCGTCCACTCTACTCCTTTGGAATTCCATGGCCTGAGCTCAATGAAGGCGTCTCTTACATCGACATCGTCAAATCGACTCTGGTGTCTCTCTTCTCCTCTCCTTCCTTTATTTGCTGCCATTTTTTTAAAAAAAATATTTCCCCCTAATTTTTTTTGCAGGAAAGACCCTAATCGAGCTCTACTCCTCCAAGTACAAGAACTCCGCTCCATTGCAAGGGTAAATTTGTTTTCAAATCATTAAGTTTTCTTGATTTGACGGCGTTTCTCGATTGCGCGCTAACTGTTTGTTTCTTTGTCTGAACCGGTGAGCAGTTGGATGCAGAGAATTAAGAAAGGGCAGGTGCGCTGATTATTGAAGATTTGCAATTTATTTGGGTTTTAGCCTTTGTGGCTCTGACTATTATTATTTTATTGTTTTTTAAAGATTACAGTCGATGGAGATGTGGGTTTTAGTCTTTGTGGTTTTGAGGTTTGTCATACAAGTTAGCAACAAAGTCTATGAGGTAACTTGTCTTACTCGACTTACTTTGTCTTTTTTGCGAGTTATTAAAATCATATGTATTTTTCCTCATATCCTATTCATATCTATTTCTCAAATATCCGATTAGTATCCGTATCCGAACCGTACCCGAACCTCTAATATCCGAACCGTATCTGTTTCCGTTTAATGCGGATATGGTAATGTTTTTTGCTTACCGATGAATATCCGAACCGTATCCGTATCCGTTTTCAGAAAGTGGTTATGGTTATGGTAAGGGTCATATCCGAACCGTATCCGAACCGAATGCACCCCTAGTTATAATCCATGAAAATCGCAAACTTTGAAGTATGCGCAATTAATTGGTATTAGGTTGAAACAAATGAAAAAGGGAAATAATGTGGGTTATAGCTCTAAAATTACGGATTTGAAGTGCACCAATTAATTGTCATTAGGTTGAAACAAATAAAAATCATTGATTATAAACCATGAAAATCGTGAATTTTGAAAAATGAAAACTTAAATTCCATTAGGGATAAATGAAGGAAAATGAACAAATGAGTAAATTTTGAATTACGAACGAAAATGCACAAATAATTTGTGAGCAAAATCTTGAATTTTAAAGTATGCATAATTAATTTTCATTGAGTCAAAACATAAAAAATTGGACAAAAATCGTGGGTGCACATAAAAAATGCGTTGCTTGAAGTATGCCTCAAAACAGATGAAGATAGAAAAAGAAAAAAATAGTGGATTGTGAGCCATGAAAATTGAGAGTTTTGAGGAAAGAAAACTTAAAACCTATTTGTAGAAATGAATGGAAATGGACAAAAGTTTCTGTGTTATTGCTCATGAAAATTATAAAATTTTAATCATGCATACATATTGGCCATTAGGTTAAAATGAACAAAAATTGATAAAAATCGTTGGTTATAGTCTATGAAAATTACAAATTTTGAAAAAAAATTAATTTCATTAGGTCTAAGCAAACAAAAAATAGACCGAAGACGATGATTGTAAACTCTAAATTACAAAAAATTAATCATAATTGAATGAAAACAAACGAAAATGGATTAAAATAGTGGATTATAGTTAGTGAAAATCGTAATATCTAAATGCACATACTTAATTGTCACTATGTCCAACCAAACAAAGATGAAAAACAATAATAGATAATTGCCTATGAAATCATGAATTTTGATATACGTGTGCCTGATTGGTATTGGTTCAAAAGCAAAGACAATGGATAAAATTCGTGGGCGCCCATAAAACTCTTGAAGTTTGAAGTACATAGAGTTAATTGTCATTGGACCGAAATGCACGAAAATGTAAAAATAATCAAGGGTTATAGCCAATGAAAATAGTGAATTTTAAAGTATTAGTATGCGTAGTTATTTGTCATTTGGCCGAAATGAAAGAAAATTGCCTACAATTATGGATATATGAAAATTGCAAATAATTTTAAAGCACACAAATTAATTGTGATTATATCAAAATGGACAAAAATAGGTTATAGCTTGTGAAAATCACAAATTTGAAGAAAGAAAACTTAATTATCATCGGGTTGAAATAAATGAAAAAGGAAAAATCATGGGTTATAATAAATGAAAATCACATTTTATAATATGCATAATTAATTGTCATTAGTTGAAGCAGTCGAAATTGGACAAAAATCATGGGTAGCATTGAAAATCACAAATTTTGAAAGAAAAAAAACATAATTGTCAATGGGTCGATTCGAATGAAAATGGACAAAGGTTTATAGACTATAGTCCATGAAAATTATAAATTTTGCAGCACACCCATTAATTGCCATGGATTCAAACAAACGATAATGGACAAAAATCGTGGGTTGTAATCCATGAGAATCTCGAATTTCAAAGAAAGAATTTAGTTTCCATTGGATTGAAAAGAACGAAAATAGACAAACATTGTTCCCATGAAAATCATGAAATTTGGTGGTATGCTAATTAATTTCCATTAGGTCGAAATAGGTGAAAATGGACGAATCGTGGGTTGTAATCTATGAAAATCTCGAACTTCGAAGAAAGAAAACTTTAATTTCTATGGAGTTGAAACAAACAAAATTTGTTAATACTCGTGGGTTGTAGGCCATAAAAATTTCAAAATTTGAAGTATGCCAGTTAATTGCCATTGAAGCGAACGAGCAAAAATAAACAAAATTTGTGGGTTATATAGTCCATGAAATTCGCTAAATTTGAGGAAAAGAAAATCTTAATCGCGATTGGGTCAAAACAAACAAAAATGGACAAAAAGCATGGTTTATAACTCATGAAAATTATGAATTTTGGAGTATGTCAATTGATTACCATTGGGTTGAAACTAACAAATGTGAACAAAAATAGTGAGTTATAGCACATGCAAAATGCGAATTATGAAGAAAGAATATCTAATTGTCACTGAAAACAAACGAATGAAATTGGACAACAATCGTGGTTATAACCCATAAAAGTAGCTTGTTTTGGGACAAGCATATACTTATTTGCTATTGGGTTGAAATGAATGAAAATTAACCAAAATCGTGGTTATAGCTCTTGAATCGCGAATTTTGAAGTACGCATTCTCATTTGGTATTGGCTCAAAATAAACAAAATCGACAAAGATCATGAATGCCTATGAAAATCACAAATTTTGAAGTACGCATAATTAAAAGTCATTGGGTCAAAATGAACGAAAATGGATTAAAATTGTAATTTAGCCTATATAAAGTGTGAATTTTTTAAGTATGCCTAATCAATTTTCATTGGGTTGAAACTGACAGAAATGGTCAAAATTCGTGGGTTATCATAGCCCATAATAATCACGAAGTTTGAATACCTTGTCGCTTACCGAAGTCTGAAACGAAAGTAGTGCATTTTCACCGTGTTGCTTAAGGTCACAATGTCTAATCTGTTTACCGAAACACTGATATGCACCTCTCCTGCTCGACTTACTCCCTGTCGCCTTAATCACATTCAACAGCTGCCCCTGCTCGGACGCCTCTTCCAAGTGCACTGGTGCAATTTCACCGTGTCGCTTAAGGTCACAATGTCTAATCTGTTTACCGAAACACCGATGTGCACCTCTCCTGCTCGACTTACTCCCTGTCCCCTTAATCACATTCAACAGCTGTCCCTGCTCGGGCGCCTCTTCCAAGTGCACTGCATTGCGAAATGTGGCTTCGAACAGATGAAAGACCTCATATATTGTCGTTCAGCCTTCCTTGGCGGTTTTAGCTTAGTCATCTTGCCTTCTGACCTGACAACCTGTTCTTTGACTCCTTCCCTTTGGCTTGCCTACTTACTAGCTAGCCAGCTAGTGCTTTGGTGAACATACATGTCATTGGGTCGAAATGGAACGAAAATAGACAAAAATCCTGGGTATAGCTTATGCCTTCCTCTGTTGTCTTGTAGTTTGTTAGTAATGCGAGACTCAGTTGGTCTTTCTCATTTAAGATTCAATAAATGTACAGTCCTTAAAAGTTTGCAGTTACTCGTCGATTACGTGACCCACTTAACCACAGTATTTAGAGCCATGTTTTTTTCATATCAAAACTTCGAACGAGTCAGAGAGTTTCTAGCCAGTTGTCTGATGTTACTCTGTTTTAAGGATATCTGGTTACTTTTGTTTTAATCTATTTCTTATGAGTTGCTGGCTGAACAATTAATAAATACAACTTCTCCTCTTGCTACTAAAAAACCTACTAACTTGATGATATGATGCGGTCCTGCCATTTGGTTGGCTGCTTTCTTTGTTATTTTGGATGTTAGTATAAAGTTGATGGGGACATGATACCTACCTTCTCAGCTTCTATTATTCAGAGTCTGCCAATTTTATTTTATGAATCTCCGTCCTCATTGTGACCTCTCACTTATTTACTCTGTTCAGGCCTATGTCTCTTTGGTTCTTCTGGAATTCCCCTTTTAATTTCCCTCAATGGTTTGTTCCCAGCTTAAATCTTATTAGGGTTAGTTGCGGATAGACGCCTGTAGTTCTGCTGCTGCAAATAGAACCCCTGAGTGAAATTTTCTCTCTTTTAACCCGATGAGTCTATTTCGCAGAGGGTCTATTTCGCAGTTATATTATTATTAGCCTCTAGGTGTGCTGTTTGTTGATAGAGCACTTAGTTTAAGAGCAGTTATAATGATCTCGACCGCTATCAACTCGGGTCATCACAAACTTTTTCACCGAGGATTCCACCTAAAGGACCCGGTGCTAGCTAGTGGTGCAATGAGAGATGTTGATTACTTGGTACAAAAGTTTTGAGAGGGACATCGCAACTAATACCACCTCCACTAACACGCTAAAGAGTTTGGAGGGGGCTCTTTCTTGATAAAGACCGCCACAACGAATAATTTCATCGCATCGGTCATCTCCTTTTCTTCCTCTGTTATGGGAAAGATATGCTGTCACGAATCGGATGATAATGGTGGAGGTGGAATTGGTATTTCTGGGTTCTTGATCGCCATTGTGATTGCTTTGGTTCTCATGATGGCTTGCTCTCAGCAACCTCGGCGGAGAGCCGTAGTTCGTGTACATCACCACTGTTGAGAGACTCTGGGTACCTTTCTTCTGTTGCTCCAAATAACAGGATGTGATATCATTATTTGTCTGTTTTCAACTTATCATTTGTTATTCCTGTGCTTCCTTTTGTCTCGTGATTTCGGATTAATGGATAAGACCCAACCTCCTTTCTTTCAATTGTTTCCTGCTCTTGAAAATTTTGAATTTTGTCCTGTTGAGCTAGAATTTGATCGGTGGTAAGCATGAAATTCCACCGCAAGGTGGGGGAAGACCTCGATTGACCGACAGACAGACGGAAGTTATGTGATTACTTTGCTAGAAACGATAAATTACGGAAATCATCTGATATATTGTCTGCTCTTGCGTTATGTGACCAGATGAAAATTTCATGCCATCTGTTTTCAACCGGTACTACGAGCATTAGTTCTCTGAAAAACTCATACTGCTAGGCTTTGCTGTTAGTTAGGATGCGGAGGGTAGAACATCTTCTGAGACTCTGGATGAAAACCGATAGAACGAATGTCTTGCTGTAGAACACGGAATCAAAGGTTATCTTTCTTCCCCATCACCATCATCGATTCATCTCACCGTGAACCTCCACTGTCTTGATTGATTCTGTGGTTTGAGCATACAATAAAATTTTTAATCCAATCAAAATACTTATCCACTTTATCAATCCAATCAAGGAAATCATCAGCATGAAGCTTTCCATTGAAGGATGATATTTTTAATCTTCTAGTGTCATAATTGTTCTGTCTTTGGTGGTCTCTGCGATCATAACTGCGGCGTAAGGCTTAATAGTCATCATTATTGAATTCATCATGTGGAGTCAGATCATGTCGTTGGCGACCATCAACGCGATTTCAAACTCCTCCCGTGTTCAGACGCTCCACTGTCGACGCAAATCGTTCTATGACAATCTTCATCTGATTAATATCGATCTTCAGCACGTCGAAATCAGTTCGAGAAAAAGGGGCTTCATCATCTGCCATCGGATCGGAGGAACAAAGCTCTAATACCAATTGACGCAGAATTAATTAAAAGTTATTATCCTTTAGGGTTACATGACTCTTCTTAAATAGAAAAATAAATAAGACTCCTACTAAGACTAGAATTACAAAGAAATAGAAAGTATTAAATTCTATCCTAAAAATACTCCTTATAATAGAGGAAACAAATCATGAATCAAAATTGAATTTGTTTCCTAATCTAATTTGACTCTAAAATTAAATTTATTTCCTAGTCTAAATAAACTCTAACTTTATTACTAAAAATAAACTAAAAGCTAATTATTTTTGGATTTCAGCCAAAACCGGGTATTACTGATGAGATTTTAAAAATCTGACAATCTAGTTGGATCCGTCTAATCGATATAGGCGATTTATATATATAATATGTCAGAATCTGCCTTCTGGGTTGGAAGATATAATTGTTTCTTTGCGGGAGTCAATAATACGTATAAATTTGTATTTAGCTCGTAATTGTCCAAATCATCCATGAAATTGTCTGTTAAGCATCCTACATCAATAATAAGATCGACGGCACCCAAACACATAGTCATTCAAATTGTATCCAAGATACGACGACAAGAGTACTGTATGTATTTATATCCGTATCAACAGGCGTGGATGCATGCTGCTGGCATGAAAATGAAACGTACATGTGTATATGTATATTATCCTACGTACTGCTGCTGCTAGAGCATCCGCATTATTACACATGTTTATTATATGTTGCGATCGAGCTACATGTATATAGATATAGATTATACATATGAAGAATTAAGTGATGACTCGGCAGCATAGCGGACGTAGGTAGTTAATTGAGAGTGGGGTAAGATGCGTCCTTCGCAATTCCACACAATCCCTCAGGCGCACCCACGTCCCTGGCCATCCTCATATAGCCTCCCTCTCCCCAAGTCTCCCCCCACGAGTTCTTCACCAGCCAATACTTTGTACCGTCGGCGGACTCCTCCGTTCCATAGCCGACCAGCGTTACAGCATGATCGAGATCCGTTCCACAAGGTCCAGTAAAGACCCCTCGGGAGTAAAATTTAAAGTCCGGTCCACCTCCGTCGATGGCAACCGAAACCGGTTGTGTTGCCACTGCCGCCATAAGTGCCTCCTCACTGTTTGCAGGAACTTTTTCGTAGCCGGTGATTGTGGCTGCAGATGTGGCGTCCGTGTTGCAAGTACCCTCGGTTGCGGTGTATGGGTACGTTTCTTCGCTTGCGATTCCTTTGTTTTGAATGATGTACTCGAAGGCTTCATCCATTAAACCGCCCTCGCATCCTCTGGTGACGCCGCCAGTGACGCAGTCGACCAGCTGCTGCTCCGATAGGGAGGTCAGGTTCCCTTTCTTGATCTGGATCAGGCCTTCGGTTGCTCCCACGGTGGAAAACGCCCAACAACATCCTGGAATGCATGTATATATGCAAGCACACATTGCAATTAAAAAGTGTATATGAGCTGGTAGCTCATTCCGTGACGTGGGTTGCCCACTAGTCTCAATAGTATTTAGGCCCACCTAGTTGCAGGCATGAGGTGGATTGGGGGCCTATTGTTTGCCGAGTTGGCAGCTCATTTTGTTAGATGAGTTAGGCAGCTCATACGTACTCATTGCTCCCATTATATATAAAGCCACAAACATACGTTTATAATTGACGATATATAGACAATTAAGTTTTATATCTATCTTACCACATTGGCCTTGGTCCTTTACCCCAGTAACCGCACCTTTCGCCCTCCAGTCCACGCTAGGAGGCACATCCGACATGTTCATCAACGTCTCATTGTTAGTTGCAGTTGCTTTAATAGGCTTTGGCTTAAATCCTTTGTAGTAAGTTTTGAACTCCTCGTCCGTTAAGTCCGCAAACCGGTTGACGCTGAGTTCATACTTTCTTTCGCCGTCTCTGTTAACAGATTCTATGCGCTCCACGTTGCTTTTGAATATCTTGAGACGGTATTTCTTCTCCGCCGCGTCCTTGTATTGGCGCCCGTGTTCAGCCATCCATTGTTCGTGTCGAACAGACATATCGTCCGCCGTTGCCGTGGTGCGAGACGTCGCTGCTGCGCAAACCCACAAGGCCAACATCAACAGAGCCAACCAAACAGCCTGATTTCTTGGGCCCATGTTTTCGAGGGTTACGCGTACGGTTATCCTAAATTATAATTGGGATCGGAGTAAATGTACCTGGTTCTTGCATGAAACCCCACAGGGATAGGTATGCTTATATAGAGGCTTGCATGGATGAAAGTGGGGGTTAGAAAGCTCTACGGAGTCCGTGATTAGCGGGGGTTAATAATTTGTCAAGGTCTTGGGTCCTTGAAGCAATGAGGAAAATTTTAGCTAATCAAGTGCGGAAAAGGTAAGCTAACCGAGTGAATACATACAAAACCCTCAAGCAAGCTAAGTTGGCTGTACCCATGCAAGGTAGCTTGAAGTCTATGTTCCATTTGCATTACATTCTTCTTCTTGAAAATTGGCTAATCAAATGGTATTGTAAGTTAAATCAATATAGGTCTTTGAATATTCAATTAACTAGCTTAAATGGATATGAGACTACTGAAGCGTAGAAGGAGCCAATGTTACGTTCCCAGTACTCCGCAGCGTAACTTGATGCCCACGGCAATGTGACACGTGCACGGACCACGTCCAAGCCTTCTACAGGCAATTCCACGTACATCATGCATGGAATAATATTTCAAGAAAATTAGTTTGTCGACGGGGCGACGGTCACGCCCCAGAGCCCGCAGGGCGGAGCCAAGTCTCACGTTGGGGGCGCCTTACCCTTCCCCCCCCCCCCCCCCCCCCCACCCAAAAAAAAAAAAAAAAGGAAAAAGGAAAAAGAAAACAGAAAAATAAAAGAAAAATAATCAAGAGCCTATAGCGCATACAATCAGTAGTCAGCTATTTTAAAAAAACCGCAAGGTGCCTCTCAATAACTTTCCAGGATCAATTGAAGTAACAAATTAAAGGCCTAAAAGGTACAATTCCTGGCCCATCATGTATAAGTTAATTAGCTCACCAACTGAAGTACCTATGTATAACAAAATGATAGAATGGTGGGAGTATTGTAGGTCCGAGATGCAAGCCTAGGGGGTTAAATAGGATTGTTTACATTTTTCGCTAAAAAATATAGAATATACAGCAGAATAAATAAAATAAAAGCAAGAAATAACTTACTAATTAAGGACACACAAGATTTTACAGCGGTTCGAATAATAATCCTATGTCCACTCTTCTTTCTCACAAATAGGCTTCCTCACTACATATGCCAAGAGTTTTCCTGAATCACAATCTGATTCAGTAAACTTATAAAGACTGAAACTACTGCCAGCCTTATGAAGCCACTGCTCGGCGTCGATAAATGCTGCATCGGGATCTCTGACAGAATCGCCAAACAAGAAATCAGTCTTCCTGAGAGACTGAACGGAACTGGCGTCCTTCACAAGAGGTGCATCGGTAATCAACTGTCGAAGAGCTCGGTGCCCACCTTCCTTCACCGCCTGGACAACCTCAGTCGATGTGCCCAAAACGAACTGAGGAGTGACTGGGATAGGGGAAATATCGTCGGAGGTCGAATAATACTCGCCACGACGCCCGTATACTGCGTGAGATGAGAACGCTCCAGAAGGGTATTCAACTGAGAACAAGCAATTAAACGTTTGTTAATTCCAGTTATAAAAGGAAATTGAACTCATCTTACGAAGGGGTAAGATAGAGTCATTGCCTTATAAAGGGTGTGACGTTTTGGCCACGTTGCGCCTTCATAAGATAGGGTATATCGACAATATATCTCTGCCTTATAAGGCACAACGCAGCGACAAAACGCCCCCTTTATTTATTATGAGATAGTGTTTTGACCAAGCAAAACATATCTTTGAAGCGTCGATCCTCACCAAGGAGAATCAAGGCTTTTCCCGGTTGCCTCACCAAGGAGAACAACGGGGAGTAAAAAAAAGAAAAAGGACCAATTTGCAAATTTCCAAGAAAAAATGGACTAATTTGTAAATTTACAGAAAAAAGTGGCTCACCGGCATAAGAGGGAGGCGCGCCATCAGTCGGCGCGGTAGAGGATTGACCCCTCGCCATACGGGACATAGAAACCTGCAAGGTAAATTAAGGGATCAGATCTAGAAAAGGAAAAATCCCATTTTTACCCCAAAAAAGGCAAGTTTGAGGCATCAAATCACACCCTCAACCCTTATATGTGATCCCCATACACTAGATCAAACATGAAATAGATCAAGATTGCGGAGGATTTACCTGAAGAAAAGCCCAAAATCCAATAAAGGCGAGACCTTTAAGGAAACTTGAACCACGCGCTCGAGGGGCCTGAAAGAAACTTTTGGTTTGGAGTTTTTGGGAGATTTCTCAGTCCAAGATTCAAAGGAAAGCCAGATCTAAGACAAATATCAAGGTTTGAAAGAGAATGGATGCTCGAGGGAAGAGAAATTCAAAAATTAGAGGGAGGGGGTGGCCGGCCCTAGAAAGAGAGGAAGAAAAAGAAAAAAGAAAAAAAAACCCCCTTTTATAGCCTTTAACCAGATCTGGCTGAACCAGACCAGACCGGGCTAAACCAGACCAAGCCAGATTGGACCAGAATGGACCCCAAGCCACTCCTCTTGGAATTGACCCCGTCTCTCCCAACTACTACTCTAAGGGCTTGTTTAGATTGAGGAGAATGATGGTGAAGGGAAGTTAGGGGAACCATTCACCTCCATTCACCTTGTTTGGGAACATTTATGAGGTGAAATTATTCACCCTAGTTCCCCTTGGTTCACCCCCTAATAGTATAAAATTTGTTACCCCCCAAATTAAGGTGTAACCAAGGGGAAGGGAACTCCCTTCCCTTCCCTTCCATTCTATAAACTGCTTCTTAATACTCCGAAAAGTATACGAGTATAAACTGCTTCTTAATACTCCGAAAAGTATACGAGTATAAACTGCTTCTTAATACTCCGAAAAGTATACGAGTATAAACTGCTTCTTAATACTCCGAAAAGTATACGAGTATAAACTGCTTCTTAATACTCTGAAAAGTATACGAGTATAAACTGCTTCTTAATACTCCGAAAAGTATACGAGTATAAACTGCTTCTTAATACTCCGAAAAGTATACGAGTATAAACTGCTTCTTAATACTCTGAAAAGTATACGAGTATAAACTGCTTCTTAATACTCCAAAAAGTATACGAGTATAAACTGCTTCTTAATACTCCGAAAAGTATACGAGTATAAACAGCTTCTTAATACTCCAATAAGGTATACGAGTATAAACTATTCCATCCTCTTTGTTGAGAAGTTTCTGGAGAATATTTTTCAAAAAAAAAAAATATATTCTTAAGGATAACTTAACATAACTCCCAGGAGTGTATGAGTATAAACTAGACCTCCCCGCTCCAACTCCTTAAGAGCTTAAACTGGGTAGACTCCAAAATACTTACGAGTATAAACTGTGTTAAACGCCGGACAACGCGTCACAATGAAGATTCAAAGCCGTCAACCGATGATCAATTTCATGTTGAAGCAACTAACTCGAGCTAAAAAGCCAGGAAATCAAGAATCGACTTCAAATTCAAAATTCCGACAAACGGTCAGGCAATAAATGCAGCACCGGAACCCTCTCAAGCATTCGACAAAGCACCGAATAGCCTGGAGGATTGAAGGAATCGAGAACAGAAACCATTCCAAGATCCCGTTACACCGATTGAAGGTTGGGACAATCATATCCAAAGTATTCCAGACTCTTCTATAAAAGAACGAGACTGAAATACTTTGGAGGGGGTATCTGTAGGCATATAAAATTGCTTATAGGTCCCTTAACACGGCTCAACACAAACTAATGAACCATCGGGCGACGTATCTAAGCACGAACGTCAGTCCACAACACCAAAGCGAGTGACCGAATAACAGGAGCTCCAAATTAATAGCACTCATATGGTCACATAAGAGGAACTTTCTTAAAGGTAATGTCATAGTCCTACAGAGTCAAAGACATCCAAAATTTTTGTGGACAATAACTACCTAATGCAATGTACTCAGTCTTTGTAGTAGAAAATGCTACACTGTTTTGTTTCCTATTAGACCAAAAAACCACATAATATCCTAAAAGATGTACCATACCTCTAATTATCTTCCTATCTATATGACACCCAACACAATCACTATCTAAACACATAACCAAATCAAAAAAATACACATAGGAAACCATAAACCAAAATTTTGCCTACCACTTAAATATTGAAAATTTTATAATATAGTTTGCAAATGTGATTCTTTAGGATTTGCTTAAAACCTTGACGCAAACACATTGAAAATATAATATCAGGATGAAAAGCGATAAGATATGAAAGCATATCAATCATTCCCATGTATCACTGTTCATCAACTGATACTCCTATCTCATACTTAGTAAGCTTTGTTGAAAGGCTCATAGGGGTGGAAGCAGCAAATAATTATCCATACTGATGTGTTTTAGAAGCTCTTTCACATACTTTTCCTGTGAAATAAATATTTCATCTTTTGTTTGCTTGACCTGAAACCCTAGAAAATATTTTAGCTCTCCATTCATGTTCCTCTTGAACTCATCCTACATCAGGTCTTCAAACTTATGTAAAAGATCTTTACTAGTAGCTCTGAAAATAATATCATCCGCATACACTTGCACAATAAGAATATCTTAACCAATAAATTGAACAAATAATGTATTGTCAGCAAACCCCTTCTTAAAATTATGTTTAAGCAAATAAAAACTTAGATGATCATTCCAAGCCCGAGATGCTTGTTTGGCTTTATATAACTTATATACATAGTCTAGAAAAATATGATAAAAAACTTGTGAGTTGTTCTGTATACACTTCCTCCTTTAGGTACCCATCTAGAAAATCACATTTTACATTCATTTGATAGAGCTTAAAGCTTGTATAATAAGAAAAAGCAAGCAAAATTTTGATGGCTTTAAGTTTCGTAGCTAGAACAAAAGTTTAATCGAATTTGATCCCTTTGATTTAATTATAATCTTTAGCAACAAATCTAGTTTTATTTCTCACAACATTACCTTTTTCATCAAATTTAATTTTAAAGACCTATTTAGTTCCTACAATTTGGTGATTTCTAGCTTAAGGAACCAAATTTCAAACTTTATTCATTGTAAATTGATTAAGTACTTTTTGCATTACAATTATCTAATTTTCGTCACTGATAGGCTCATTCACATTTTTTTGGTTCTATTTTTGACATGAAATTCTC